AAAACAGCAGGAAAAGAGGCAGTGGGGAACTAGCTCTGTACAGAAGAGACATGAGCTGCCAGTGAATCAAATCATGGAAACAGAAAAATGGGCTCACTTGATTTTGGTCCCAACTCTGAAAGCCTAAAAGCAAGCTTGTATTATAGTCATACCCATTCCCAAGAGTGGCAATGATGCTGTTTAGAACTGCTGTTTGTAATAGTTTATCACATCAAACATTGCCATGAGTGGGTCCAAACACGAATTATAGCATACAAGTTCTTTACTTTACATATGGTCTGTTTTATACATAAGCTCCTTTGGCAGCATCCTCCAGGGCTTTAGAAAGGCAACCTGAACCACTCACCTTGAGAGATATTTTTAAATGAGTGAAGTTAATATTACCCTGTAAATAACAATTGCTTAAAAGGTACTGAATTTCCATCATGGGAACAATTCATCATGCATGTCATATTACTGTAGATCTCAGTTATCCCACAAAACTTAGTGTAAGGAAGTAGAACAAGACCCTTTCAGAAAGGTTATGACATGCATACTTAATTTAAGTCTCATAATATTGTTGATCTTCTGGGTAAAATGAAAATTCAAGAAAAATAGTTGGTTAAGAAAATCCTTAGTAAAGTAACATGGAATGCTAATTGTACTTAAAGATGTTTAGGCATGTTGTGCCATAATTTCAAGAGACAAGTAAATATCCTTAGCCTCATTCTATAGGTAAAACCATTGAGGCATGGAGCAATTATGATGCCATCCATGCCCCAGGTAATATAGCTAGCCACTGATTTAAAACCCTAAGCTCTAAGCTCTGCCCAGAAGCTTTCCAAAGAACTTGAATTCTATAAAGACATTTGCTAAACAAAGACAAAACTTGCCTCGGTGGAGAAGAGAGATGCAAAGGCCAAATTATATTGTATGTTTTGTTTTTGTTTTTGTTTTTGTTTTTCGTGGCCAATGATCAATGATTATTTAGTGGGCAGCACACTCTAGTGGAGAGAACCATAGCCAGGAGCTAGACTGCCTGGGTTCTGATCCTTTCTCCCATTCTCAGTTGGTCTAAGATTAGCCAGGCATCTCAAATCACACATGAAGCAGCCAAATGGAGGAAATGAAGATAATTGGGACTTTTTACAACTTCCTATCCTGCGGGATGTGGTAAGGTTGCAAACAAACAAAACAAAAGATGGTCCAATTAGAAGTGGTCAACAAATGAATGAAGCACAGCCAATTGTCAGTGAAGCAGCATCCGGGAATGAAACACCAGCCAGGAAAATGAGCAGCCCGTTGAAATGCAGAGAGGAAACTTGGTGGAACGGAAGGAGGACAAGCAGTTTCCCTAAAATAAAATGAAGCGCATGGATTCACAACTCTCCACATGTTGTCACAGGAATATCCCACATAAACAATGAAGTCTTGATTTATGCTCTCCTCTTAGATTAAATGTATTTTATAAACATTAGCTTAGTCATAGACCAATATGTCACAAGGTCTGAAAAGACAATTTAGTGAAAGTAACAGTATAATCAATACATAAAATGTACCATACATAATAGGAACTATACTTTGTGGGGTCTTGTTGGGATTGAATTGTGTTCTCCTAAAATATGTGTTGTAATCCTAATCCCCAGATATGTGGATGTGATCCCTTCTGGGAACAGTGTTTTCTTTGTTATGCTTACGGGACCGTATCAGGGTAGTATATGTGCTAAACGTGATCAATTCTGAGTTACAAAAGGAGCAGATTAGGCACAGACAGGAATACACAGGATGAAGACAGAAGCTATTGGATGACTAAGGCAGCAGATGAATCTACAATCCCAGGAACTCCACAGATTGCTGATTACTAGAAGCTGAAATCTACTTCTGTAGTGTTACTGCCTCAGAAACCCAAGGAGGGGTCTGTATGAGTCGGGTCTGACTCGATGGCACATAACAACAACAACAGAAGCTGAAATAAACAAAGGAGTACTTCCCCTTGGAGCTACACTCTGAATTTGGACTTCTAGCTTCCTGAACTAACAAAATTAATTTCAGTTCTTTAAAGCCACCCACTTGTGGTATTTGTGCTACAGCAATACTAGGTAACTAAAGCAGGGTACCAGCTATGACTCCTTTACTGTCATTAGGGCTTTGGGGAATGCAACCAGGTCTATAGAAAACACACTAGCCTAATCACCAACTTGTTAACGATGTTATAAACTTGACACAGATGATATCCAAAACCATAACCAAACCTACATAACCCAACACAGGTGCTGGGTACCACCATCAAGGAACAGTGTAAGCCTTTGTTCCTCCTTTGTCCTTATGTCCTCATTGGTACTAGCCCAGAAATGGGAACATACATGGTTCTAACCATTTATCTAACCATTCTCTGAAGAAGGATGTCATGCTTGGTAAGGTGGAGGGTCAACGAAGGAGGGGAAAGCGCTCAATGAGATGGATTGATACAGTGCCTGAAGCGATGGGTTCAAGTATAGCAAGGATCATGGAGTTGGTGCAGAACTGGGCAGTGTTTCGTTCTGCTGTGCATAGGGTTGCTGAGTTGGAGATGACTGAACAGCACCTAACAATAACAACGACCATTCATCTACCCCACACACCCAGTAAAAAAGGCACAGTGACCACAAAAGCCATTCCTTGGACCACTGGGAATCCTCTTCAAGGAGCAAGAGTCTCCAAATTTATTATATATTCAACCAACCCTCTGCTACTTCCTGTTCCTTCTTCCACTCACATTTGAAGGTGCTTAGCCATATGTTAATGTAATTTGATCTACAGTTAGCATTGGGACTATTAAATTTCAATAGCACCAGAAAGCAGAGCCTGGTGCTTCCCTGATATATTTTTAAATATTGACCAAATGGGTTGTTGTTGTGTTATATTGGCACTGAATTCTATCATTTAAATTTTATTTCTGATTTGATCCATCCATAATTGTAGCCTAACACTATAAACACTGGGGATGGACAGAGATCTGTAAGACTATAGAGTTTTACTACTAGAATCTTTGACTTTAATTATGGATTCCTTACTTAATACAGATTACAGAACAAAGTTCTAATTTCAAATTGCTTTTCTCCTATACTTAGCATGCTTCTGAAGAGCCTGTCTTGTCCATTGGTCAGATTGTGTTCATTAACTACAAACTAATTTTAACGCTTACATGAGCTAAGCTTGATAAAGGAAATTTGTGGCAAAAAGAAAAAAAAAAAAAGATGATTTCACAAATTTTATTTCCCTTTGTTAGAATAATTAATTGAATTGATAGCAAGTTGTAATTTTACAGTACTTATGGTGAAAATACACGTGTGTGTACCTAAATATAGAGGTATACATGCACATTTACATATACTATAAATGAATATTTATTGGAGTAATGTTGTTCGGTGATGTCAAGCTGATTCTGATCCATAGTGACCCTACGTATAACAGAACAAAATAGTGCACCCCACCCCCATCAGAATCATTGCCATTCTTGAGCACATCATTGTAGCAACTGTGCCAGTCCATCTCATTGATGATCTTCCCCTTTTGCCCTGACACTACTTTACCTAGCATGATATCCAGGAGCTCTGGTAGCATATTGCCTAAGGCACTTGACTGCTAACCAGAAGGCTGGTTGTTCAAACCCACCAGCCACTCCTCGGAAGGAAGGTTGGGCAATCTACTTCTGTAGTGATACTGCCTCGGAAACCCAAGGATGGGTCACTATGAGTCGGGTCCAACTCGACAGCACATAACAACAACAACAAAGCATGATATTCTTCTCCAGGGATTAGTCTTTTCTGACAACATGACCAAAGTAGGTGAGAAGAAGTCTGGGCATTCTCTCTTCAAAGTACCATTCTGGCTATCCTTTCGCCAAGATAGATTTGTTTATTTTTCTAGTAGTGCAAGGTATATTCAATGTTCTTCACCAACACCACAATTCAAATGTATCAATTTTTATGATGTCTTCCTTATTCATTGTCCAGCTCTCACATTCATCTGAGGGTATTAAAAGGCCATGGCTTAGAGGTCAGGTGTACCTTAGTCTTCAGAGTGATATCTTGGCTCTTAAACATTTTAAAGAGATCTTTTGCAGCAGATTTGCCCAGTGCAATACATCATTTGATTTCTTAACTGCTGCTGTCATGGTTGTTGATTGTAAATCCAAGTAAAGTGGATACTGGGTAGATGAGCTTTATTAATTTTAAAAAAATTGTTTGAATCAGCATATTCTAGTATCTGCACCTTCAGATGTGAGTGGAAGAAGGAACAGGAAGTAGCAGAGGGTTGGTTGAATATTTAATAAATTTGGAGACTCTTGCTCTTTGAAGAGGATTCCCAGTGGATCTCATTACAATTTCCCAGACCTCTAAAACCTCATAGCCAAGTCTGGCTTGTGGTAGTAGCTGGGACTTGCTACATGGATGAGGTCCCTTGAATTCGCCCAGGATCTATTAAGACCAATTGTCATTCTAGACACCTATTTTGCCAGATCCTCCTTCTTACAGCCTCTCCAGCCTTACTCTGTATCTGTCACCTTGTCACCTCTGCTGTTGCTTATGTCTGTGGCCACAATCAACCATCTTGTCTTTCCATGTTCAGTTATTCTTTCACTGTACAAACACAAATACAACACTGCCCTAAAGCAAATTGAAACTACTAATAGCGACCAATATTTACTAAGTACCTGCTGTGAGATAGGCATCCTGCTAAAGTATTTTACATACTACCCTTCATTTAATTTTCTATCTTTTGAGTTAGGTCCTATTATTAGCCCATTGTACAGACGAGGAGACTAAGCTGAGAGAATTTACTTCTCAGTGTCCCATCACCACTAAGTGTTGGAGCTGGGATTTAAATGTGGGCAGTCTAATTTTAGAACCCACGCACTTACCTGTATGACAGCTGGCCCCTTGAGTTACTTATCACTTCATAGCACACAGGTGGAGAATCAAAGAGTAAATAGTAGTTTCTGACTACATAACCTCAAAACACTCACCCAATATACCTACCCAGATAGGTGAGTTGCCTCAAACGACTACTGAAGAACCAGTCACAGCTTTGGTCCTGACCAGGTGATGGAAGAGAAGAAAGAGGCTGGCCCACCTGACTCCCACATCTTATGAGGATGTCAGGGTAAGGCAGCACATCTGTGTGCACCAGCAGGAGGTGATTCCCAGGAGCAAAGTTATCAAATGTCGCAGAGTACTTGAAGAGTGAGAAAAGAATAATAGTGCTTTTTTAGTAAGGCAGGTCCCCTAAAAAGGCCTAGAGAGAACACTGATGGAGCAGTTCAGTGCCAGACTGTACTTTTTTTGTGTGCAATGGGCCTATTTAAATCCATTTCCTAGTAATTTCATCACTAAAGTTACAAATTCATAGAATGATATGAGGACTGAAAGATGCCATAAGGATCTTCTTGTTTAACAAGCTTGATTAACAGATGAGAAAACCAAGGTGCAGATATGTGAACGGACTTGTCTTACATCACACAGCAAAAAGAGATAGAACTAGGTCCAGAATGTCTTTCCAGTTTTTCTCCACAATTTATAGAAGCAGGCAATGACAACAGTGTCATCCATTTATAACCATGAGATCTAACACTGTTGGGGAATTTAGTACATGCTTATTGTTATAAGTCATTCAGTCCTCAAAAGACCCCCAGCTGTTATTACTGCCCTATTTCACACATGAGGAGACTGAGGCAAACAGAGGTTCAGTAACTTGCCCTGTATCCCAAAGCTGGAGAGTACAGGGCCGGGATAGATGTACCTTGTGATAGACCCTATAGAGCACTTCTGCTCAGCACACACGGGGTTACCATGAGCCAGACTCCACTAGACCACTAACAGTCACAGGCCAGATGAAAGATTCGCAGGGTGGCGCACTTGGTTAGGTGCTTAACTGCCACCCCACGAGTTGTGGGTTCAAGCCCAAAGTCACTATCTCTCTACCTTTAACGTATGATAATTCCCCAGAATGTCCTCATTGGAACTTCAAGTAAAGGAAAGAGAGGTATGCACCCTTTCTGAAAACAATGAATAGTGGATCAAGAGATTCTGCTTTGACACCCCAGAACTATGGCACACCAAAAACAGATTCCACCTTCCTAACCACTGACCACATGACCCTTAAAGGGGAATATGTATGGTGAGAGAAGAGGAAAAGTGTTAAAAACAAGCTTGAGGAAATCCACTAGATTTATATTTTTGTATGAATTACATCCATTTTCCTGATGACTAGTCCAGTCTTTGCTTCCCCTAAACATATGACTCACTCCTTCAACCCAACCCAGGCCCTAAGATTCTTAAAGCCCTTCATTTACACGTTAATATTTGACCACAAGGTGGCAGTATGCAATGTATAAATGCCTTTTGTTCAGTCATTTTCTGGGGGGTGTGGGTGGGAAGGGGGCTATAAACACTTCTCTCTGAGTTAAGTTGAATCTTAATCCATAAGATAATAATTCCATTGAATGCTTACAAACTATTTTTCACTGTATCAACAAGATTAAAATTCCAGGTAGAACCATCCTGCAAAGTGAGAATTAAGCAATTTCTAAAATTTTCAAACTACAAAAGCAAACAAATTTCATATTCAGATTACATTTATCTAATCAAAATGCTCCCGCAGAGTTTTCTTTATCAGCATCAGAAGATACTAGTACCAACAACCCGTATTTTCACAGAAGGAAAGATAAGAACCTTTAGTAGATGGGAGGTAGCATTGAGTGAATGCTTGGGGTTACCTGCAGAGATCGGTTGATCCAAGGCGTCTCTAATCGCAAGGTGTAGGTCTCTTGATCCAAGAGCAGAGCCATCCAGCCATGCGAGTTTGACAATGTGTCAGATACATAATTGACAGTGACTGTCTTATTTCTGCTGTCAGTCATAGTTAAATTATAAGTAACATCTGGAGCATGAGTTCTAGGGTAATAAAAAAAAAAAAAAAATTGAGTTTCCAGTTTTTCTTCAGTTCTGGATCTAATGTACTTCTCTTTAATTAAATGTAATTCATCTTTGTATTCTCTCCATGTGCTTTTAAAACCATGAAAACCAAACTCACTGCTATAGGGTCAGTTCTGACTCATAGTGACCCCACTGGGTTTTTGATGCTGTAAATATTTATGGAAGTAGATCACCCCATCTTTCTTCCACGGAGCAGCTGGTGGGTTTGAACTGCTGACCTTTAGTTAACAGCCAAGTTCCTTATCCACTATGCCACCAGAGCTCCTTGTACTCTCTTTATATCATGTTTATGGAAGTTTATCAGTCAGTGTACGGTCAAAGCATCCCCAGAAATGGTTGCTATTGGATTGTTTGTGCATTACATTGGCCTACTGGGCTAGAGGTGTAATACTCAGGTGTCAACACTTGGCTCTTAGGCCACTAATAAATATCACCTTAAAGAGGCTATGTGAGCCAGTATTATTATACTATTAATAAAACAAACAAACAAAAAAATGTGCATGGCCAGAACTTTGTTGTAGACCAAGTATATCAGCAGCAGAAAAAAGACATATTATTATTGATAAGCAAGTGTTCCTATGGGAACAATGTGGAGTTCCTGGGTGGTGCACATAGGTAACGTGTTCAGATAAATGAAAAGCAGGAGGTTCAAGCCCATCCAGAGGCACCACAGAAGAAAGGCCTGGCAATTTACTTCCAAAAGAAATTAGCCATTAAAAACCTTAGGAGACAAGTATTGATTTGGGTGAAGGGAAAGGTAATAGGAAAGGTAATATACCAGCATAATAACACAAAGGAAAAGGAAGACACAGAGAGGTACACAAAAGATACACACAACAAAGATAAACACTTCAACATACATAATACTGCATTATCAGTAACAGCAAACATTAATCTACAGTGGATACACAGGTACTCACTGCCATAGAGTCGGATCCAACTCATAGCAACCCCTTCTTGGGTTTCCTAGGCAGTATCATTACAGAAGTAGATTGCCCAATTTTCCTTCTGAGGTGTTGCTGGTAGGTTTGAAACGCCAGCCTTCTGGTTAGCAGTCAAATGCCTTAGGCACTACACCACCAGGCAGGCTAAATGATCAACTATATCTAGGCAAAAGGGAATATAGCCATGACTGCATATTTTTTGGCAGATGACATTTCTATATATGTATATGTATGTACTATAAGAATGTCCATATATAGAATGGAGCTAATCCAGCAAAGTTAAGGTAACTTCTTAGCTACAGCAAAATATACTGAGGGATTTAATCACTAGATCCATAAGCTCAGGACCATGGGCACAAAGGACATAAAACTCAATTGGCATAACATAAAACACACAAAAAAAATTATTCTACATATTACTTTGATGAGTAGTGATTGGATTTTAAAAACTTGCAAGTAGAGGTTCTGGTAAGATGGCAGAATAGGCAGACAAACTACACAGACCCTCTTCAACAAAGAAAAGGGGAACCAATTAACACGGATAGAGAAGACAATCTTGAAGCCCTGAACTTTGAAAGGAAGGATACAGAAGTGGACTAAACTCCAACTAGGAGAAGAACCTGCATGGAAACATTGAAAAGGAAGAAATACAGAGCTGTGGTCTATCAGCAATCCTGATGGCAGAGTATTCTGGTTATCTAGTGCTGCTTTGACAAGAATATACCACAAAGGAGATGGTCTAAATAAACAGGAGTTTATTCTCTTATAGTTCAGGAGGCTAGGAGTCCAAATTCAAAGTTCCAGGCTCTAGGGGCTGGGTGAAAGCCCCTCAACCTTGGGCTTCAGCTCTGCCTCTTGCTCCCAGCCCACTGAATATAGAGGCATCTCTTCACTCAGGCAGCTACCAGCTGCTGAGGCTAACAAGCCCAAGGTCAACAAGTAAAATGTCACAGTCCCGATGTTACCAAACAACACGGCAGGCCATTAATTCAAGTCCATTGTAAGTCCCAAGGTTGGCAGAGCATGGCAGGCTGCTGAACAACAACATGATTACACGCAGAGTCCAAGTGTGCCATAAGCCAGAGACTATCCCCAAGGCTTCTTCTTATATACAGGGAGAAGATCACATCCCAAAGGCTGCTTGTGGTACATCCCACCATGGAGTTGACTGCCAGTCTCATTATGGGGAATAACTACCACCAGCTGCCCAGTCACTCAACCAGGCCCAGCCAAGTTAACATACAAATTTAACTACCACACACTGATAGTGTGTGGTATTGTGAGGAGCAGTTAAGGGTGAATCAGGATATTCACCTGATATTGCTACATGGTGTTGTTGTTGTTGTTGTTATGTGCCGTTGAGTCGGCCCCGACTCATAGTGACCCCTCCTCGGGTTTCCGAGGCAGTATCACTACGGAAGTAGGATTGCCCAATCTTCCTTCCGAGGAGTGGCTGGTGGGTTTGAACCGCCAGCCGTCTGGTTAGCAGGCAAGTGTCTTAGCCACTATGCTACCAGAGCTCCCTACATGGTGTTAGGACCTAAGAATTCACATAAAAATTGGCCCTGCTAGGCAGGGGTTGCACAGAGGACTTCACTGGTGGCTGGTGAATAAAAGGGGAAGCAGCAAAGAGAGAGACTGGCTGAGTTGTGGACTTTTGCCTGTCCGAAAGATGCAACCATTTTGAATGTTTACACGTAGTTGGATCATTTTGGATATTTAAAGCAACAGCCTTCTCTCAGATTCTAAGGACCTAAGAATAGGCTCCACTTGCCAGGAACAGCAAGGACATTCTGGACATAAACAACTGGAAAGGTGAGATATTCCCTTGTTACTCTTATAACTCACACCCTCTTCATGAACGGAGGTGCACCTTCTAGGTCAGCAGTAATTCCATCCGAGTCTGTGTGCTCTGACAGAGCCTGGCCCTGCCCAGATTTTTTTTCTTTTTTTTTTTTTTTCTGGTTTGTTTTTCTGTTTTAAAATTACTACTACTATTATTATTTGTTTTTTGTTTGTCTTTTTTATTATTCTATATTCTTCCCTTCTCCGGTTAGTTTTCAGCTTTTTCTCTCTTCCCTGTTCCTGATTCCTATTTCTTTCTTTCTTGCTGTTAACACCATTCCTTGTTTTTCTTTTTTGCATTGTTCCCACTTTTTCCTCATTATTCTCCTACTCTACCTCTTTACCCTTATTGCCCCCTCCCCAGATATTGCAGATTTTTCCTTTTCTTTTCTTTTTTTTTAGTAATTGTTCCTGTGTGTTTATGTAGTTGTTTTCTGTCTGCTTGCTTTTACTTTTTTGATAGTTTTTAGATCATTGTTTTTGTCTAACTGAAGTGGAAGACAAGAGCCATGTCCATTCAAGACACCCACACCCACACGTCCTACAGCTTCACTTACTGAATGAGAGCCACCACTTTTTTTCTCCACCAACTGGCCAACGACAAACAACCACCAAGAAGAACCTAATTCACCTTTAACTGCTCCTCACAGATCTAAATACAACAACAATGTCACAATGTCTCAGAGACAACAGACCATCAGAGTGCACACAAAGAAGCAAGATGAAATGGTAGAAACAAGGGAGCAAGATTCAGACCCAGAACACATTGCTGAAGAAGCAGTAGAACTGGAAATCCCTGATAAGGAATTCAAAAGAAGTATATTTAGGTACCTTCAAAGAATTGAGAGACAGATCAAGGAAAACACTGACAAAATTAACAAAAACACAGACAAAACCTTAGAACAATTTCAGAAGGACATATAAGAAAAAAATGACAAAATAAATGAAAAATTAGAAAATTAGATTCAAAATCTACAGAAAGAAATCCAGATTAATACTAAAATTTCAGAAACAGATAACATATTGAAAGGAGTAGAATCGAATCAATGGAAAACAGAATGAATGAGATTGAAGACAAATACCCAAATACTTCTTTGGAAAGGGATCAATCAGAAAAAAAGATCAAAACAAAATGAAGAAAGACTAAGGTTCATGTGGCATACCATCAAAAGGCATAACCTATGTGTAATTGGAATTTCAGAACAGGAAGAGTAAAAGAAAACCACTGAGAAAATTGTCCAAGATTTGTTGGAAGAGAACTTCCCTGATATAATGAAAGATGAGAATACATCCATTCAGGAAGTCCAATGAACCCCAAACAGTTTAGACCCCAAAAGAAAATCACCAACACATATCATCATCAAACTCATCAAAACCAAAGACAAAGAAAGAATCCTGAAAACAGCATGGAAAAAATGAAAAGTTATTTACAAAGGACAACCACTAAGAATAAGCTCTGATTTCTCAGCAGACACCATGCAAGTGCAAAGTCAATGGGATGGTATATATAAAACCCTGAAAGAGAAAAATTTCTAACCAAGTATTATACACCCAGCAAAATTGTGCCTCAAATATGATAGTGAAATTAGGAGATTTGTAGATAAGCAGACATTAAGGGAATTTGTTAAAACCAGATCAACCTTACAAGAGATACTAAAGGGAATCCATTGAACAGAGAACCTATAATAGCAAACTACAACTGACCATTAATACACAAGATGACATGACCCAGAAACCAACACAGCTATAGACCTATCTGAAGTAAAATAAGCTTACAAGATTGTAAACAGGGAACCAGAGACATCAATTGGCAAATAAGGACAACTACAAATCAAAAAGAGGGAAAATATAATGTAGTTACAAAACTTCTAAATGATGAGGAAGTCGAGAGAGTTACAAGATAGAATAGATTGTTCTAAACTTGGGGAGAAAATTATAAATCACAGGGAAACCTCAAAGAAAAATGATAACCATTCACATCTCAATAAAAAAGAAGACAAGCACAAATATTTAGCAAATATTAAAACAATAGCAACAAAGGAAATAACACGATTCATAAACATAATGAGCTTAGCACAGAAAATTATATGGAACAAAGAAACCAGGAACACCATGAAAAAACACAAAACAAAATGACAGCTACCAGTTCATACTTGTCAATAATTACAC